CTTTCCCCATCCTTCATGAGGGAGAGAGGGAAAGGAATCTCATCATTAGCATTTCCCATGGGATGCATTGAACTTGACTTGCTCCTGAGAAAGCAGGCCCTCTCTGGGATTTCTGCACACTGTGCATCCTGCTGGCAAACAAAAATGCTGTCCCAGTGCCACAGATTCTCCACAAAATGTGGAAGTGCTTCCAAAACTCATTATTTGCACAGGGCATGAGTGGTTACATATTTGGGACATGTTAGTGCAGAAACTGTAATTATTAGTATCTCATAAAGGGAAATTTACATGTGTATGGTAAGTGCTCGGTTAATTTTACAGTGGCTAGGCTACACAGCCTGTGACAAGCACTTAGGGAATCAGCCAAATTTTTATGGAAAGCCTCCATATGGGGCGTATTATCTAAGAAATGGAAACTGAAATATCTGTCCCAATGAAAGTACATCATTCATAGCTGCTCTCCATAACTCTTCTCCAGAACAGCAACATGTGGGCAAAGTTAAGGGAATAAGACAACAAACAAACATTTTTTTAAAAGAAGAATAAATAATTCTGGGGAAAAAAAATTAATGATTGTGTTTTGCACGTGTAAAATCTGTGGTTGTAAGAACAGGGCACAGCCCCTGACTTCCCCCTTCAAGTTACCTCCCACCCATTGTAGCTGCTGGCTGCCAATGAGAACATCCGAGGGAGTAAGGTTAGTTTCATCTTCTCCAGAGCCTCTTTGTGCAGGAACCCGGCAGGAGAGGAAGCCTGCACTGACCAAGGCTGCTCACCAGGTTAGTTCTCTAAAAGCCTGGAAATGTTATTAACTTGTTAGCCTGGGAAGAGTGGGATAGTAGTGTCAAAGTAGGGATTTTTTTTTTTCTTTTTTTCCTGCTTAGCACAAAATATAAATCAAACTGGCAAATCCCACTTGGGGAGTGGGGGGGCTTTTAAAAAGCTGTGCACAGATTCTGGATTATGGAGAGTTTACCTTTGCTTGCTGCTTTCTGATGCTAACATAACTGTGTTGAAGGAATGTGACTGGTACTTTACTCTCTGTTTAAACGGGGCTGCTCCACCAGAAGCTCGGGTATTGATGGCTTTTGATTCCTGGTCTCCCTGTGTGCTTGCTGTTCTTTCAGTGGGATGTGCTGGCAGGTGCAGCTTTGCTTCAAATTCTTCATTCTTGTTTGCAGCTAGGAGAAGAGAAAAGAGGAAAAGCGTAGAGAGATTCACCACATGTCCATGCTGTGGTCAGGCAGGCAGGGGGAAGTTGCGGGTAGGCAGAGGCAGCTCTCTCTGGACACACACCTGGCACCTCCAGCTGCATTCCCTGGTTTGCCAGCTGAAGCCAGGACTGGGATTTCTGGAGATGCACGCGTTATTCTAAAGGTTGGAGAAAGAAGGTGCACCCCCTCCCCCCTCATCCCTCATTTCAGTTTCTATTCTGGCTTCTGAGCTCGGAAGCAACAGGAGGAGGAGGAGGAGGAGGAGGTGGAGCCTGATCACCCAGGAGGGTGGGTCTGCCTTTGTCGAACTGTTGTTTCTAAGAAATAAAATAAACCAACTCAACTTACAGAAAAAAAGGTCTCAACAAATCTGAGCAGGCAGTTTATCTTATCTCAGAGAACCTCAACCTAGTCCAAACTTCCTTAGAATTGTTACCTAGAAATAATTTGTGCTTTTTTTTACTTGGCTAGGGAATTAGAAGCAGAGAGGAATTGTTCTTGTTGCTATTCTTACTATTATCATCATCATTATTATTATTTTAGACCTGAGGTTTACTGGTTTTCAAGGTTTACGTGCTTGATGAACCACAGGAAGGCAAGGAGAGGGTGTCAGACTTTGGACATTTCTCCCTTTCTGGCTACGTCAAGAAACCAGAGATACAAGTTTTCTGTAGTATCTCTCTTGTGTGTAGCCTGGCTTTGCTATGAGGAAATTAGTCCATAGGTGCTTCCCAATTCTCTGTGCCCATGGCAAAGCCCTCTCATGTACAACACGAGTCCAACGACCAAATGCCTAAGTCCCTCCCTTTAGCCTGGGTTCACTGCCCAGCCCAGCTCAGCACAAGGGGAATGAGCCGTGTCTAAGCACTAGCCAAGCCTTTACGGGCGGAATGGGGAACATCAGTGACCTGGTGCTATTTTGAAGGCTGGATAAAAAGGCAGATCACCTTGAAAAGGGCAAAAACCTTGAAAAGACAGAAATGCAGGCAAGATATGGTTATGCTCTATCACCTCCAGTGGCAGCTGGGGAGCTGGGCAAAAGGCAGCCTGCTGAAGGTTTGGCTGGAGGTCCAGTTTTTTTCACTGACTGTCCTGTTTCCTGTCTCTTTCAGAAGAGGACCTGAGGATGGCTGTCCCAACCGTGGTGACGATCCAGCCGCAGCACGGCGGGGCCATGTCCTCTGTCTCGAGATGCACATGGCAGACAGGCCTGATGGACTGCTGCACTGACTGTGGTGTCTGTGAGTGCCTGGCACACGCTCCCCTTGCCCCTGCAGCTTGGCCTGGCATGTGCAGCCGTGCAGCCTGGCACAGGCTCACCCAGAGCTGTGTTTCTCTCCCTGCCAGGCTGCTGCGGGATGTTCTGCTTCCCCTGCCTGGCGTGCCAGGTGGCCGGGGACATGAATGAGTGCTGCCTGTGTGGGACCAGCGTGGCCATGAGGACCCTGTACCGCACCAGATACAACATCCCAGTGAGTGCTGAGCCTGCCATCACCCTGCCCCCAAGACCCCTCTCTGCACTTCAGGGAGGGGCTCAGGGCAGCAGTGATTTCCACTCCCCCCTTTTTTCCCATTTGCATCCTCCTTTGAGCTTTGAAAGATGGGGAAGACTTGAGATAACTGTGGGCCGATTAAAGAATAGGTGGAGCTGGTTACACAGATAAAGGTCCATAATCAAGTTTGGGAGAAAGATGGACAGCACATATGTGAGGATGTTTCTTCCTGCGGGGGAGGTGGTTGCTGCCACCCCAAGTGCAAACCATGGGGGTCCAAGTTTGCTTTGCCCACACTGTCTGTTTCTGTGTGCCTTTTTCTTCCCAGTCTGGACTTCAGAACTCAAAAAATAAGTAGCTATCTGCAGCCTGCACAAAGGGCTCCTTCCTTCCTTTCCATTACTTGGGGTTTGCCAGCCCAGGGCTTCAGTGTTTTCTATTCAGGATGCTGCAGTCTGCCAAGAAAAAAAGGAGTACTTGGCCTGGAATGTGATTAACATCTTGGTGGAATGTGGCTTCTGGGAAAGCCTCTGTCCCTAACCAGTTTCTCCCTAACAGGGGTCCATTTGCTCTGACTACTGTATCACCATGTGGTGCACCGTGTGCTCTGTTTGCCAAATTAAGAGAGACATCAACCGCAGGAGGGAGCTTGGCATATTCTGGTAAGCTGGGGGTGCTGGTGCTGGTCCATAAAGCTGCTGTCACACACAGAGACAGCTCTGGGGTGGCTTCCCAGAACCTGTCCTGCCAACATCTTGACACTGGACAAAGTTTGCTGCAGTGGGGAAATGGCCATGGACAAATGACAAGAGTGACCTGTCCTGAAGCAAAATGTCACTGGGGACCTTGTGCAGGGTGGAGGGGGAAGGACCGGGGGGACACACAGAGTGCGGTGAGGCACAGCCCCAGTTCCTGACATGCCTCTCCCATCCTGTTGCAGATGCTGCCATCCTCGCTGCATCCTTGGAACTGCTGCAGGCAGGAGTCACCGCTGCCCTGACTGTTGGGAAATGCACCATGTGGGGCTTGCCCTGATTGCATTTTATTTTCCCTGATTAACTGCAGAAATAAAGTTTTGAGTTTGTCTTCCTACCTCTGTGTATGTCATTTTTGCACCACCTGAGAGCGCCCATCCTTCTCCTGCACCATCCATCTCAGCAGCCCCTGGTGTAGCTGAGATTTCCCCGTGCCTGCTGCAGAGAGAGATTTTCACTAGTATTTTGTTATTGGATCAGCTTTTAGAAAGGATATTTAATACATTGAAGGAGTCAGTGTTGCTCATCCAAGTTGTAAACTTCGGGAAAACGACTACTGCTGCAGGGCAGAGCTGGGTCTTCCTGCAGGCAAGTGACTTCTGCAGGCCACCCAGCATTGCCCCTGTGGTGGCCCAGGTGGCTGTCCAGGGCTGTTGGTCAATGTCACCTTTCTGAATAGAAAGGCATGGGGATTTGGGGCTGCCAGGCACCAGCTCACTTTGGTGCTGAAGAGATATGGACCCTGAGCATGAATTTCTCCCCTCCTGCAATAAAAAACCTGGCTGGGTTGTGGATTATCTGTGTCCTGTCCAGGGACAAACAGTGCCATCTTCCTGCCTGGCATTACACAGCCCATCTACCTGCACTGGGCTGTGAGCCCTGCATTCCCATCCAGAAAGTGGAGGTTGCATACACCTTCTCTCCATCACTCTCAAGAGAAATGCTAAAGGACTTTTGATCCCTACAAATATCTCCCAGCTTCTACCTTTAAGTAGAATATGATTGGTTTTTTGACCCTACTCTGCCTTCACCACAGAACTTTTTAATGGCAGGTAGTGGCTCTATCTGCACCACGGGGTGGGTGGGTGTGATGGCACTCCCAGCTGCTTAAACCCAGATGGCTCAGAATGGTCCTATGGATGATCCCTGGCAATGCAGAAAAATGCATTTTTAGCCTGAGAGAGGCTACCCCCGTGTCACCCAGTCCAGTTACAGGCAGTTCTTGTGGATGCTCTGCTTTGACAAAGGCAAGGTGCTGCACTTCCAGCGTCACATGGCTTAGGGCAGCACAGGAACCTGGAAACAAAATTCCCTCCTCTGGAAACCTCTCCCAGTGGGGTTCTGGGCATGGAGAACACCCGGGTGGGGAAAGCTGAGGGCAGGCAGCAGCAGGAATGCAGCAGGGGAGCTGCACCTAAGCTGGCATTTGCTCTTAGTCAGAGGGAGCAGAGGTCGCTTGCCAGAGCACATAAAAGCAAGAGAACCAGGAAAAGGACACGTATCTGCCGGGAGAAGGACAGCTTGGAAAGTATGTATGGCACGGCTTTGCTTTGGTTGTGGTATGGAATCTGCTCGTGGCTGAAGTGGTGATGCTGGGCAAGGGGAAGGGCTGGAAACAAAGGTGAGGTTTTCTATCTGGAAAACTGCTTCGGGGTTAACCATATTGTGGTGTGTGCTGCTGATGGCATTGTGACAGATGTGGGGAACAGAGGTAGAGGACAGCAGTTTTTTGCACTGTATTGCTCATTTGTGCACATATAGTGCCTGTGGATGCTGCTTTTTGACCTTGGCTGTTGGTGAAATATGGTTGCATGCACCTCAGAATCCTTTTGTTCCCATCAGTCATTCCAACATAGCTGGTGATTCCATGGGGCTGTGAATTGTAGAACTGTGATACATTTGGTGTGCTGGGCCTGGGCCATCTCTCAGGAGGTGAGTGTGTGCCAGAGGCTTCTCCAGGCTGCTGACTGCTCTGCACTGCAGCCTCCACCCATGCAGGGATGTGGTGTGCTCGTACCTGGGGAGGGAAAGGAGAAGCCTGGCTAAAGGGATCCTGCCTCTAAAACTTCTCTTGCTGCTGCTACTCCTGTGCACACTTCTCCTTGTGTTCCCTGTGGTCTCTGTGGTCCTGCCTGCTGCTGGGCATCCCTGTCCCTGCACGGGAGCCCCTTGCTGGGGTTGCCACTACACAGCCTGTCTCCTCCCCTGCCCCTCCTGGCTCTTGCTTTAAGCCCATCCTGTGCCAAGGCTTCCTGAAGGAGCAGCTCTTTTGGCATGCCAGGAGGTGTTACGTTGGCTGCAGAAGTAGTGGGAATTACCTGGGACCTCGTGGATGAACAAACAGGGACAGCTGGCCAAGGCAGGGCCAGGAGGGGTTCAGAGAGGGATGATGGATGCAGGGTCCCCTGCTGCACTCACAGATGGGGACAGCCCAGCCATGCTTCCACTGCCTGCAGAAAACTGCAAAAAGTCAGGAGCAAACCATATGGAGATTTTTACCAGCTTTCTTCCCTCTTACACCATAATTCAACGATCTTTTTCCTCTTCCTGGGACTGCCAGGAACAAGGGCTGGCCCTACAGGGCTGTGTCTGACAGCTGGGATGTGTCTGTAGATGCAGGGGAGTCACAGGAGCTGCCAGCAGAGCCATCAGCCTTTTGCCATCTGTTGGCATTAGTCAGTACAAACACAATGCCACAGCCAGTGCCGCTCTGACGTGGGTAATGAGCTCCATGGCATCGCCTGAGTGCTGGGCACAGTAATTGTTCCCCTCCTTTCCTTGTGTTGTTTAATACCTAACTTTGTGTAAATGTGCAATTCTGATGCGAAGAGAGTCCTTTCAGAGTGCTTACAGAGCTTGGGCACACGGTAGGGAATGTGTCTGCATGGGACTTCTCCTGTGGGAGCATCCCCTTTTTTTTTTGTTTGTTTGTTTTAATTAAAGCTCTAAAACCAAAAGCGAGAGTGGCAGAAGCTGGTGCTGTGCCTTGCAGGGGTGGCAGGGAGGGAAGGAGCTGCTGATGGAGGTGCAGATGGAGTTGTTACATTAGTCAGGTGATTTTTGGCGTGGTGCTGCAGAGCAGGAGCTTTCCTACTCTCAGATAATGCAGCCCCTTGCTGAGGAAGGATGGGATGGAGAGGATCTCTGCAAGCCACGGTGACCCCACAGGACTGAGGAAGAGGAGGATGAGGTGCTGGCACAGACAGTCAAGTGGAGGAGGGATAGGAACTGGTGACAGGGCTTAAGATGATGGAAGGTGACAAAGAAAACCCTCTGCCTTGAAGCATACTAAGAAGGCAAGTGAAGGAGGAAGGGAGAGGAGGAAGTAAATAGGTTGAGATTCTCATAGAACAAAGCAGAGTTTAAGGTGGCTCCTGAGAACTTGAGGAGGCTTGAACTGAGCTGTAGTAACCTTGGGAGACTGTGGTCATAAACAAAAAAACCCAAACAAATAAATCACCAAAAACCCAAAGAAAACAGCCCAAAAACGAGAAAATTTTATGCAATTTTACACAGAAAGCGATGAAAGATGACCTGGAGATGAGAAGACAGGTTTGAGGTGTTCAAGTACTGCAGTTTTGGAGCAGAAGGACCTCTGTTTTCACAGAGGTGTTTTATTTGCATAGGCAAGAGATGACGTGCTGCTGGGGAGGGCTTTGCTTCAGCAGGTAGCAGCAGCTTCTGGCAGAGCTATGCCCCCACTTTGTGGTGAGGGTGGCATTACCCTGGCAGTGGGCACTCCCCAGGGAGCTCTTTCTTTGAATGCTGCAGCCTGAGCAAGGTGCCCATTTCAGAAACACCTGCAGCATCTTCCTCTGATGCCTTTTTCTTTTCCAGACCACAACCTGCCTGGAAGGACCTGACCCTGCGCTGGCAATGGCTTCTCAACCTGTGATTACGGTCCAGCCCCAGCTTTTAGCTACCCAGCAGCCAGGGCACTGGCAGACAGGGCTGATGGACTGCTGCACCGACTGTGGTGTCTGTGAGTACATAGTGCCCCTCATTCCTCCTGCTGCTCGTGGTGTGCTCCTGGTGCTCACCCTGCCCCTCCTGCAGCGTTACCCCTGCTGCAAACCCCACTCCTGTGGGTTCTGGAGGCACAGCAGCTCTTGCCTGATGTCAAGAGCCACAGCTCCCAGCTGCCTTTTCCCCCTTTCCTTGGTCTTGGCACCCCTCAGCCAAGCCCATGTGTCACTGTCCCTCAGGTCTGTGTGGGTCATTCTGCCTGCCCTGCCTGGCGTGCCAGGTGGCTGGGGACTTGAGCGAGTGCTGCCTGTGCGGCTCCAGCGTGGCCATAAGGACCATGTACCGCACCAGATACAACATCCCGGTCAGTGACCAGCTCGGGGCTTGTCCCAGCAGCCACGGGATGGGTGCTGGGCGGGGGGCTCAGGGAAGGATAAAGGGGTGCCCAAGGGGAAGGGCAGAGGAGGGGATTTGCACGGGCAAGAGTCAGGGACACATCTGGTCACCACTGTGAGCTGGAGGCAGTCCCAGCACACACTGCTTGATCCCAGTCCTTGCTGCATGTGAGCAGCAGGGCCCGGGTGAGCTGCCGGGGGCGGGGGAGGGGGCTGCCGGTGTAAAATAGAAAGGCTGAAAGGCTTAAAGTTTGGTGTGTTGCTCCTGCCATGTCCTATACTGCACAGGGCTCCATCGTCGGAGACTATGTCACCATCTGGTGCTGCACCCCATGTGCAGTCTGCCAGCTCAAGAGAGACATCAACCGGAGGAGGGAGTTGGGCATCTTCTGGTAAGCTGGGGGTGCTGGCCCTGCTTTGTCTCACTGCTGCAGTGCAGTAAAGGCTGAGGAAAGGGTGACCCTGCTCTCCTATCCCCTTGCAGATGCTGCCATCTTCAGTGCACCCTGTGGAGCCACTGCTGCTGCCCTGGATGTTGGGACATGCAGCACAAGGAGTTTGCTTTCACTCGACCCCCTCTTCCCCGCATAAAGCCAGCAATAAAAGCATTGCCTGTGCCTTCCTGCCCGTGTGTTGAGATTTATGTCTCTGTGTCTTTCTGCAGCACCAGAATCAGTGCTGTACACTTCTCTAGGCCGTGTGGCCAGAGGCATGATGAGGTTGTCAGGTAAAGGAGGCTTCCTCTTGCACAGCCACACTGGAATGAGGTCAGACCACAAAATTCAGTGGGGAGAAGCTAAAACAAAAGCCAAATCTGCTATGGGAACAACTCCTCTGTGGACACCACCAGTGTGCAGATCTGGTGACAGCATTGCTCAGAGAGGCCCAAGAGCACTGAACCCATCCTTACTGATACCTGGACCGTCCCCAGCACCAAGAAACAAGTGGGGAGTGGTGGTGATGCTGTGGGATTCCCAGTCACTCTGCTGTCCCCACACAGAGAGCATCACATGGGAGCAGCTTCCCTGTGGGTCAGACCCCTGCAGCTTGTGGGTGTTGGGTGTAATGTGCTGTGGTGGAAGAGCTGGGACTTGGGAGTGCAAGGGTTTATCCATTGCCTGCCGTGGTGACAAACAGGTACTGGGGTTGCTCTGGCTCAGATTTACTGCTTTGAACAGGAAAAGGTGTGGTTCTGCCCGGATTGGGCTGCAGGAGGCTCTGTCATGTCTGTGCTGGCACCCGCAGGACAGGACGGGGATTTATTCAAAAGCACCTTTTCCACTCGCCTGTTGTCGCCACCACAACTCGCCCTGCATTTGCCCGCGGTGTGAAGGGGTGAGGCTGCTGACAGCGTGAACGTGTTTATGTGTCCACTCACACGCAAACCTGTGCACAGAGAAGCAGGAGGGAGCGGCCGTGCCAGCCGGAGCTGCCAGCGGCGACAAGATGTCACGGGTGGCCACAGGGTCACCTCTGCTCCCTCCTAGTGCTCCTAAATCCCTGCCACGTGCAGCCCTGCCAGCAGCAGAGCAGGGCTGGGGGCTGGGTCTCAACTGGATTGAGGTGGCCAGTTCAGTGACAGCCCTGCTGCTGCAGGAGCCCATGGATGCTCTGAGAGCGTCCAAGATCAGGGGCTTCAAAGCCAAGCAGCCAGGGCTGCTGAGGTCCCCTCCTTCCAGTGACAAGTGAGCCCTGTGTCCCCAGCACGGGCTTCCTGCAGGGCCCTGCCCCATCTCTCCTCCCCCAGTGAAGGATGCTTTGGGCTTCCCTGACAGTCATTCCTGCTTGGCATCCTCCTACGCCCATTCTTGATCATGGAGTCTCCTCCCCAGGTCTCTTTCTGCTCCAGTGCATGCAGCGGTTGGTCCATTGTGTCAGGAAAATGAATCCACAAACACCAGAGGTTTATGTCCAAAACGGAGACAGAGGAGTCCTTTTTGCTTTATTCGAATAAAGGGAGAGGCCATGGGAAATTCTCCTGGAATCTCTGAAATTTTTGGGGAACGCAGCCTGCTTTTTATCCTATTTTCCCGGCCGCATTTCCTTCCCTCTTTCCCCATTGACTGAGGTACTTGAGAGGTCCTGGAACACCTGATACCTGAGATTCCCCTCTAATGTATAACTCTCCCTTTTAATTTTTAATTCTTATAGTATTCATAGTTTTCCCCCATTACTTCTTTTATCTTTAAATATCCAGTTTCATTTATCAGCAAACTTACAGTTTGTCTGTAAAGGCAAATATCTTTTTTCCCATTCATCAACCAGTGGAATCCATCGCATTGTTTCTTTTATCTCTTAGTGCTAGTCTTACCTACCAGCAGATCCACAGCTTGTTTGTAAAGACAAATCCGACATTCCTCTCAACTGGCACCAGGGAAGAAATCCATGAACCTCCACAGTGAGCAGAAGCAGCCAGGAGGCTGAGCGGACACAAGAACACAGAGGGTTTGTTTCCGTGAATTTCTTTACTAGAGGTACTACAAATGACCACTACTAAAGCAAATACTTAAGATCGCACACCTGTAGGCACACCTGTACGCATTATTTGAGCATTACCCTTGCCAAGCTGCTGCCAGCAGCGGGCAGGAAGGTAAATCACCTCTTGTGGCCGGTGATCCACACCTTTGGGGCGAGCCCGGAGCTGCCCTGCCCCTATCCCAGTCCCTGAGCTGTCCCCAGCTCAGCCACTCGCTCCCGGTGTTCCACCCTCCCTGCGCACACAGGGGGGCGTGACAGGCTTGGTTTTCCCGCAGGGATCCCTGCTGGAGTCAGTAAGTCAGGAGTCTGAATGCTTCAGAAAGAAACCAGAGCAGGGATTGAATTAAAACCTTTGGATGGATTGAAGTATGTTAACCCACTCACGCATAATGCAGAGATATAAGTTTAAGTTTTAGTATAAGCAAGCAAGCAAGAAAGAAAGTGGAATGGGTTTTAAGTGCTTTTAGTAAGTAAAAAGTCTTAGATACCTGTGTAGAAATTCGAGTTCTGATGAAGGTTGAAGAACATAGTCTTAGATACTAGGGGTTCCATGGAGGCTCCAAGAACATCGTTTTACACGTAATAAAGCTATAGTAAGAATATTGCTTACATTTTTTAGATAGAACAAGATAGACCATGTACATAGTTTATACATAGCCTGGCGTACTAAGAAACTAGAATTCTAATAGGTTAAGGAGTAGTGGTCTGAGTTTGTGTCTTAGCTTGTTGGGAAGTTCCTATATAAGAATATGCATTAGGGAGAGCTGGTGCTTTTTGCCATTGCTTTTGCCACTGTGTTTTTTGCCATTGCTTTTGCCGAGCTTGCTGGCGCCAGGATCCTTGTGGTTTCCTGGTGATGCTCCCCCCGAGGCCAGGAAGGTTGTGGAGATGGCTTTCCTTGCTGGTCCTTCTCGGCACAGCTTTGTCCTTGTGTCCTCACGGGGCTTTGTTTGTACAGGCCGTGCTGTGGAGGTGCAGCAAGGAGCCAGGAGCAGCCAGCCCCGAGCCTGGGGGAGAGGCAAAGTGCCTGTCCCATCCAAGGAGTGTCAGGGGGCACAGGAACTGCAGGCAGTCCTGGTGAGTGCCCCAGGTCGTGACCAAACAGTCCCATACCCAGCCATGCTGTCAAGGCTGCTGGCCAGGCTGGGAGAAGCCCAGCATAACCAGGAAAACCTCACTGTGGGTGATGGATAAGCTCTCGATCCCCTCTGAGGGCTGCTGGGTTGGTTCTGCTCCTGCTGCCTCTCTTGGCACTGTATGAATGTGGGTGAGGGGCAAACAATTCCAGAGGGGGGCCAGCACCTTGTGGGGAACGGGCACAGCCCCCCAGACCAAAGCCTCTCCTTGGGAGGGAGCTCAGGAAAGGTGAACCAAGACTTGTTGGGCTCTGGCCCAGCTGCACCCCTTTGCCAGCAGTTCAGTGTAGTGCGGGGACAGCCCAGTGTTTGTGGGGACAGCTCCTGTGTACACAGAAGGGGTGAAATGCACCCTGCTTCCCAGAGGGGTTTGGGCAAATGCCCTTCCTGGACTGCCCTTCTGGGAGAGATGTGACTCCTCTGGATAGGGACGGGGAAAGGCATTTCCTGAGGGTCTCTGGGGTGGGCTCTGACTGACTGGTGTCTCTCCTGTTTTAGGTACAGAGGAGGCTCCACTGCCCTGTGCTGCCCAGAAGAGCCAAGCTCACCCTCATCTCACTTCTGCTGTCAGGAATGGGACTGAGAGAGACCCTCCACACAGTGAGGAGCATGTGACATGTGTTTAATCCTCAAGGGAAGAGCCCAGGCTCCTTGCTGGGTGGAGATCCCTGTAGGGGACAGCCCATGTGGCTCCTGGGTGACAGACACCCTGGCTCCAGCTGGTACACACCCCACCTAGTTTGGATTTGAGATGCTCCTGGTTCTCACAGCTCTGACTGATGAACGCTCCAGCTGCTTACAGCTTAAGTTCTTTGATGCTCTGAGTGATTTCAACTCCTACATCTTCCAGTTCCAGCTCCAGATCACAGTTCTGGCTGCTCTGCTGCTGAGGTACAAGATGCTCTTGCCAGCAGACCTCCTCCCCTTGTTACACACTAGGTTAAGGACACTTGGGTTTCTCTTGAGTTTCAGGTGCTCCAGCTCCTGGATGTGGTGTGGTAATTGCAGGCAATGGATGCTCCACCTCAGGTTATTTGGAGCCCTGAGCTATTTTGGGTCCAGCACACACCAGAGAAGAGAAGCTCCTACTGCTTCCAGAGGTAGAAATTAAGTCTGCAGGGTGTTTGCAAACAGTCTGAAGGGCTCCCAGAAATGGGAGACAGCCTGTCTCACAAAGCACACTGTTAATGACAGAAAGGCCTCCAAGAGCGAGTCCTACTATCAACCTAACACTGCCATGTTCATCACCAAACTGCATCCCCAAGTGCCACATCTGCACATTTTGTTAACACTTCCAGGGTTGCTGATTCCACCACTTCCCTAGGCAGCCTGTTCCAATGCAATTTCCATGAAGAAACTCCTCCTAATATCCAATCTAAAGCTCCCCTGGCACAACTTGAGAACATTTCCTTTTATTTCCTCTCCTCCTGTCACTTGTTTACCTGGGAGAAGATATTGGTCCCCACCTCTCTACAGACTCCTTCCAGGTAGTTGTAGAGAACAATAAAGTCTCTCCTGAGCCTCCTTTTTTCCAGGCTAAACATCCCCAGCTCTGCACTGATCCCATGGGGACATGAAATGGTGCAGTGAGGCATGACCCTGAACATCAGATCAGACAGAGCTCTTAGATATTTCCTAGGTATGTTAATTCTCAAGTAAGCCAGGTTTGGTCTGCAAAGCCAGGTAGAGTCAAAACACCTGTAAGATCAAGCAGGGTGAAGGATGATAGCTCTAAGCCTAAATTCAGGAGGCTGGAACACATCAGTGAAATGCAGCTCAGTCTGACCAGCAGGCAACCTGCTAGGAAACCTCCCACTCAAGTAAAAGGTGTGATGTTAACATCACAGTGGTTTAACTGGGCCACAGTTGAAGTCATTTGTAATGGGAATGTTAAGCCTTACATGATGGGAAAGGCCCATCATGTTACTTCCAGGACTAATGAGACAGCCCAAATGATTCCTGAGAAGTTTGACACCGAGCTGGAAGTGCTGCACTGTGCCATGCCAGCCTGACCTGCAGCTCAGGAGAATTCCTGGTGAGCATCATGTTGAGCAACATTAGATTTAGTATCTACATCCTTTCCTTGAGATTCATCACCTTGAGTCTTTCAATAGCAATTACTCATACAGGATGTGTTTTCTTCTCCTCCTTGTAATAAATTCTTTTCATATTTTTAAACATTGCCTTCCAGTGCTGAGGTGAAAGTGCAGGGCCTCATTCAACCCCAAACCAGAGAAGGGGCACAGCCCAGGACCTCCCCTGGGCTGCTGTGGCTTCTGCACAGATTTCACCTTTTGTTTTGGTTAATGAACAGCTGGTGGTGACTTTCTGCCAGATTTAACATTTAAGCAGCGCATGCAAGCTGCTTGGAAGGATTGCTTGATAAGGTGATCCCTCACTTATGGTGTGTTTGACAGCTCAGGGTTTATTTCTTGTGAACTGGCCAAAGGTCGGCTGCATGTTGTGGGTGTGCCTCACATCTGACCAAGCACAAAACACAAGTGTGAAAGGTTGAATTCCATATTTAATCAGTTACTAACATTATGTAATCCCTCGATACACAACAGGTTTGTCCAAAGATAGACGAGGAAAAATTCATGAGCACTTTTCAGGCATTCTTATCTGACAAATAAGCACCTGGGGTGGGTATGGCCTTGGAGGCAGTAAGATAGAAAAAAAGTTATAGGGTAGAATACATTACTGAGTTTTGCACTCCCGAGGTCACAGGTACATAAACCCTTTTCCCCTTGGGAGCCCTGCAGCAGCAAAACTGATGAGATGCCCAAAGCGTGTTCTGTCTCTCCCTAATGAAATCTGTAATCTTATCTCTGAGGAACCATGTTCCTACAATGCACTTCTTTTATTACTGATTTGAATGTGAATGGCTCTTTACTGTCTTTATACAGGACCTATAAACATCTCAGTAGCTATCAGAGTTGATAACACAGCCCCTTCAGGCTGTGTCTATACATGTGTCCCATACATGTGTCTAAGAGAAAAAAAAAATTACCAGTGAAATTAAATTGCTCCTGGCCAGTTCCCAAAAAAGGCTGAATTCCTTTCACTCAGTGTTTCAGACTCTAATGCAAGCATCAGCTGGGGCTTTCCTTCAGACAGTCTGCTCCGTGCCTGAAGACAGGAACAAAACTGTGACTTGATGCATTCAGAAACAATCTCAAAGATACCTGTGCCCACAAAAAAAAAAAAAAAAAAAAAAGCTCTTAAGAGTAGAGCAAATATCTGTGCAAACAAAATACCCACAGTTTTTCATCTCCTTTTGTTGTTGTTGGTTGGTTGGTTGAAGCCTGAGCACCAGTCTTGCTGAGAGCAGCAGTCACTTCTCTCTGCATCCTGTGCAAGTGCTCTGGTTTTTCCTAACTCATAGAAGAATATCCTGAGTTGGAAGGGACCCAAGAAGGATCATAAAGTCCAACTCCTGGCCTGGCAAAGGACAGCCACAAGAACCACACCATGTACTCAAGGGTATCATCCAAAATCTTCTCGAACCCTGTCAGACTTGGAGCTGTGACCACTTCCCTGGGGAGCCTGTTCCAGTGCCCAAACACCCTCTGAGTGAAAAAAAACTTTTTTTCTAATATCCATCCTCAACCTCCTCTGAAACAACTTCTGGCCATTCCCTGGGGTTCTGTCACTGTCACCACTGAGGAGAGCTCAGTGCCTGCCCTGCCTCTTCCCTTCAAGCTGTAACTGCAATGACCAAGTGCCCTCAGCCACTCCTCACACATCTTCCCCCTCAAGGCCCTTCACCATCCTCGTGCCCTCCTTTGGACGCTCTCTAATGCCTTCATGTCTTTTTTATATTGTGGCACCCCAAACTGCCCCAGCCCTGGAGGTGAGGCTGCCCCAGAGCAGAGCAGAGGGGACAATCCCTCCCTTGCCCAGCTGGCCATGCTGTCCCTGATGCCCCCCAGGACAGGGTTGCCCTCCTGGCTGCCAGGGCACTGCTGGCTCACATTCACCTTTCCATGGAGCAGGACCCCCAGGTCCCTTTGCACAGCGCTGCTCTCCAGCCTCTCATTCCCCAGTCTGTCCATACATCCAGGGTTGTCCCATCCTAGGTGAAAAATACAGCACTTGTCTTTGTTTAAAGTTCTTTGGTTGGTGATTTCCCAGCCCTGTAGCTTGTCAAAGCCTCTCTGCAGGGCTTCTACCTTCAAGGAAGTCAACAGCTCATCCCAATGCAGGAACTTACTTAATACACCTTTGAGTCCTGCATCCAGGCTGTCCGGGGGCAGCCCAGACCTGATGCTACAAATTGCCTGCTGAGATTTCCAGCCCAGGCTGCAGATATGCTCCCTGAGATAAGGGTATTTCTTCATCTCTTCAGTCACATGTGCATCTTCTCAAATGCCACTGGGACTATGCAATGATTTTCCTTAGCTGCTGGTATGCTTCTAAGTCTCATATAAATACAGTAGAGAGTTAATTATTATAAAGTCATTGATAAAGGGAAGAACAAGGTCTCAGGAGCATGGTTCATGAACAATGATATACTAACCTATCCCAGGTTGCAGCTATGTAAAAAATCTGGCCCTGTGGTATTTGGTCCAGGTGATGTTTAATAATTAGTGATGAGTCTTGCTAGGAAAAAGAGTTGATTGAAAACATCATGATTTTAAATGGAAAACATCTATAATGTGTACTCTTCTGTGTCATCTGCCAAGGAGAAAGATGTGACTCCATGGGCTCATGCATTTGTCAAAGCTCTGGCAGACCCTCACGTGGGATGGTGCCAAAAGAACTGAAGGAGTTCCTTCAGCATCCCCCAAAATCTGCCTTATCTTTGAGGTTATTGGAGGGTACATCTGTCCTGGAAAGCAAAACTGCATCAGGTAGCACACAGGAGAAGTGCCGTGCCTGTCATTGATCCTGCTCCCAGTTAGCACAGCTCCCGGAGAGATGTGCCTGATGCTCCCTCAGCTGGGGACCAGCTCTCCTGCTCTGTTTAACCAAGGCTGCCTCTCCTTCCACAGCATCGATGTCATGCCCACATAGTGTCCTGTGAAAAGGACCACTCCCGTGGTGACAGCCTGTGACTCGTTCAGCTGAAAGGTGAAAAGGTGAAAGCAGCAGCGGCTCGCCCTGGCCCTGCCCTCCCCACAAAGGGAGAGGGTGGAGACTCCCGGGCTGCAGGGTACCCAGCCGCCAGCTCGCCCTGCAGCAGATGCGATGATCTGGGTGGCACTGCCCTTCCCTGCCACTTGAGCCACACATCGGAGCTGTGATCCTGCACTCCGCGCTCCTCCCTTCCCTGGATCCCGCATCCTCTCCTCGGCAGCGCTGCCCCGGACCTGCTGCTGGTGAGTGACTGTGGAGCAGCAGCTCTGCCTTTCCACCGGCACAGGCTCAGCTCGGGTTCGGTGGCTCCATCCTCCGGGAATTGCTTGCCCTGCCATTGCTATGGAATTGTCTCAGCGGATGCTTTCATCCAGCAGCCAAGGAAGCCACAGCAAAACGCTCGCCTGCCTTCTCACAGCTTTTATTGGGGAGGCAAGAAATCAATGAAAATACGCTTTATAAAAGGCGAGGGAGGGGGACAAGCTTCAAGGCATAAATTAAAAACAGGGAAAAGGTGAAAAGTGAGAAAATTTCGCGGGAGCTGCCGTTCTCGGTGTTCTCTCATGCGTGTTAACCCGCGTGTAAATAAATAAATGTCTGCACGCACCGTGCGCTGCTCGCTCGGTCCCCGGTTAACACACAGGGCTCTTTTCATGGAAGGTAGCTTACAAATCCCCGGCAATTAACTTACAGATTGCCCAAATCGCATTATCCTTATTTACTCAAACGGTTTTAATTTCCTGCACGTGTTCCCGAGAAAGAGGAATGTATGGTCCTGGCCCCTTTACATCCCCACAGCCGTTCTCAGTCACACATCCCTGGAAATGGCTAAAGAAGCGGGGGGAGAAAAGGTGTACTTACAACTTCTGTGAATTTATATATATCCAAAGTCCAAAATGTACATACAATACTGCTTCAGCTTGCAGGCTGCAAGACTTAACTTTGTACCCACTAAAAATAAGAGAAATAATAGCACGCTGAACTGTGGTTTCTCTGGCATGTTCAAGTATCCAGAAAAAAGAAAAAGATTGTTTTTAAAAAGGGTTTGGGGCACCTTTCTTAAGAAAATTATGCTGAAAGCTGCTTCTGTCTCTAAAACTCCTCCTCCTTAAGTGACTTCAACGCTTAGTCTCTATAGAGATAAAATCTTTTGAGTAACCGCCTGGATTTTAAAAAATGCACGTCTGAATTTTGCTGTTCATAATTTTACTACCACTTCTACAGTATTGTTTTTTTAGTATTGTGATTTTTTTCTATTTGAACTGCAAATCCCTCTGGAGACAAAATTTTCGGGAAAACTGACAGGAATAAATGTTCCTTAGCTTTTTATATAGACCATGTGTCTTAAAGCACACAAATACATTTACTGAAACTGTTTGAAAGACTACAGGTATGGTATTGTTGTGGTTCAAGTGTGTTTGAATCAATTGAACTTTGTAGCACGTTTTGCTGTTTGATGGTTTTGTTTAGTTTCCCTCTGTGTGTAGGAAAAAATGAGACTTTGTACTTTACAAGTCTCAGAAGAATACATAGGAAAGCAACTGTAAAACTTCAATTTTATGTACATTGAAACAGTAGGAAAAGAGATTTCTTGGCTGCTTTTAAGAAAGTAGTTTCATTTTGCCATTAATAAAAGGTTAAATCTCTAGATCCAGTACTCCATCTCCTGACAAAATTTTTTGAGACTAAATATCTCTGAAGAAAAGGATTTTCTATTAGACCTGAGCTGAAATGATGCTGAAATCGGTGGCAATAAAACCATTTCAGAAGTATTTGGCAAAGCAAACAAAATTTGTGACATTTCCAGAGTTCATAATTTTTTTGTTTTGCTGATGCAAAATATGCTATATCCAGGGTTCATATGATGAGGATATGAAACATTTTATTGAGATTAACAAGTATTTCTGAATACAGCAGGCAGTACATGTTGTCATTGAATCTCCTGCTCATTTCCACCTAAAGTAAATATTTGTAAGCCATTGGCAATGAAATCTGAGAAACTTCATTTAAAATTTGCATGGAAATTGATTCAATTAACACCTATCATGGTTGCTTCTTTGTCCTGCACAAGCTTTGACTTAAAATGTTTTGTGGCTGTAGGTCACATTAAACTCAATGAATTATTTTTAAACAATTAAAATCTGCAATGTTTTAAAAATTCCCTTTCTGAGGAAACAGCTGACAATTACATTAGCTGTGAAGGAGCAGGACCCTCTGGAGTTTATTGCTAGATCAGAAATGGGAAGGTTGATTTGTAAAATACCAAGCTGGTTATCTCACTACAACTTCTTACACTGCAGCGAAAAAGAAGCATCCAAAAAAGCAAAGCAAATGAAAATTTTAACATGTGTGCATCATTTCTACCATCAGCACATCATCTTCTCCCAGCTGAGATCCAAATGGCCACTCTGGGAGTCTCCCATGGATCACCCAACAAAGCCACAGCTGACCCTGAAAGTGAGAAATGCTATTTTCAGTATTAATGCAACATTTGAAATAGATGGCTTTTTCGCTTTGATAAATGGCATGTGCCCAGCAACACACTTTTTTTTTTTTTTTCCTGAAGGGAGGAACAGAACAAAGGTAAATCCATGTACCAGGTGTTCCATCTGCTGTACCCCACTCTGTCCCTGTTAGTGGCACAAGCACCCTGCAGCCAGGAAGGGCTGTGACAACTTAAACCAGAGGTCCAGTGAGACCTGAATCCCGTGCCTCTGCTCAGTAGTCAGTGCTTTCCCAAGGGACAAGAGCAAATAATACTGTTTTTCTCTGGAAATTTGGATTATCAAGACTTCCTGAATTGGAAGTTTCCTGCTGACAGCTGTTTTAAATAGCCATTGAGAGACTGTTTCCTATGGATATACGTAATTCTTCCCATGCCTGGTTTAATTATGTAGCTTCTACACATATTTTTGCAAGGAAGTGTGCAATCTCATCATAACTTGATTGATAAATTAAATTTGACTATGACCAGCTGTCTGTTCTTAGGAACAACACTGTAAAAGCAGTGTGATCTTTACTTGTGAAGAGTTTCTGATTCTCTGCTTACTCTCTACCTGTCTAGTTCATCCTGGAAAAATTAATTTCTTTAATTCCTAAAAAAAAAGTACGTTTGTTTCCTGAGGAACACTTCAGAAATTCCAGTGCAAATGTGGAGCTAGGTTTTTATGCTGGTCTTTGGAAAAAAAAGACCAAAAACCCAACAAAATCAATGAAACAAAGAAAAATGTAACCATTCTGTTGATTATGCCTGAGGTCAAACTCTACTTCTTCTTTTTTTCTCATTTGCTCATAATGTTGGATCAGTGATACTGAAATATTAAGCTGAGAAAAAAAATGTGATCAAGCAAAATATGGATCCAAATACCTTATCTATGTAGTGATAGATCAAGGTCAGAGTCACACTGTCTCCTGACTTCTGCACTCACTTTGTGCTGCTTGGTTATCCAACAGCTCAAGGGATTTTTCTAATGCCTGCCTGTGGTGTTGCCCCTGTTTTTGAGTATTTGGTGCCTGGCTCAGCAAACCCCTGCTCAGCACTTGGTGAGACTTTAAGACAAGTTCCCACAGCAGTTCTGAGTGCACATCTCTAATTTACCAAAACATCCTTTCATCAAAAGGCAGTGATGGATGTCCAGACAGATTAACCCATAAACTGCAGGAAAAATATCCTTCAAAAATTACCTGTCCTCCTCCAGGTAGGTAAATCTTCTCTGGCACAAGTGAGAGTGTATGCAGTTTATCAGTAAAAGGCCTCTATATTTTAAATGTTGCACATTTGATTGATGTTCAACTTACTAAAAATGAATTTTAGCTAAAATTAAAGCTAGACCCATTGTAATTACATTTCAAACACGGGTTTTTTTTTGCACTGGGCCTAGATTACTGATTACTAAAACATTAAGAATTTATATTTTTGTCAGCACAGAAGACTGCAGCTTTCTCAGAAGAGGCAAACTTAGGGTAGATTTGGGGTAGCATCGCTGGGAGAAAGGTGAAGCAGCCTTTATGTGCAGATAGGCTGGTTGCTGAATGTAGAGCTTCCAGAGGTTTCACTGTGCTATAGCCACCAAGGAGAGCTCAGCTGTCTGTCAGGCAGCCTTAGCAAACTGACAAGATAAGGGCGTGGGTTTTTTTGTGACCATATGAGCCTGTTAGATTAAACGTTTGTTTTTGTTTTTTCCCAGGCTCCTTTTTACTAACAGCTCTCAAATTCATTCAGCATGTCTGAAACTCTGTCATAATTTGCTTCCTTTCTTGCTGTAAGCAGTGTAATTATGCTGAGGTAGGGGACTGGTCACCCCAGAGCTCCCAGCTGCTCCTCTACCCTCTTGATTCCCACGAACTATTGCATTGCTAACATTTCTCATAGTGACAATTAAAGTAATTAGGCTTCTGTGAGTCAACATGTTTTATAGAGAGGCCAGACCCTACCTCTCTCTCAAATGACCCTTAGGGAAGCACAAAGGGGACAAAGGTCTGCATGCACAGGGACAGCCAGGGATGATCCACTGTGGGTGGCTCACAGGAAGAAGCCTGGCTGATGAGGGAGGTGGGATAACTTCAATTATTCCACAACTACTTTCTAGTTTTCCCATGGAAATCAAACCCAAGGAAGAGAATTATTTGGCAGCAGTGCCAGTTTGCATGTTGCTGTATCCTTAGCAAAATTATTTAGATTAATAAAACAGTTTCTGCCTGTGGCCAGGTTCTGCTGCTCAGGGGTAGGTGGAAAGGGAGGATTGTGTGGGAAAGATGCTGAGGTTGTGGCAGACACAGCCACTTCCAGCTGCTGAGGCAAAGCTGAGTGTGTCAGTGATGCTGGTAGAGCCTCTCTGGAGACGTGTAGGAAAAAGCAAAAGATGCTGTTCAGCAGCTGTGAAAGAGGAGTGAGAAAATGTGGGAGAAACAGACCTCAGAGAAGGAATTCCAGGTGCCAGAGGAGATGCTCACCTCAGAGGGCAGCTGTGCCCCCAAGATCAGCCCACCCCAGCCGACCATCAGGGTGGGGAGAAACTCTTCCCTCCTTACCTCTGGTAGACCCAGCTCCTCATCATGTCCAGGTCTGATCCCACAGGACCCAACCTTCCTATCCAAAAGACACACCTTTCCTCCTCATACCTAACCAAATCCTCCCTTTCCCGTGCTTCATTTCCAGAGGAGAGATGGCAGAGGACCAGCCACACCTGTGCATTCAGATGTCAGAATCTGGTACAAATGGCATTCCCAGCAGAAGGCAGTCCTCACCAGACCTGGCTGGCAGGGCAGGAAGCGTGCTCACCTTCCACAACATCTGCTACCGTGTGAAGACTAAGACTGGGTTCCTGTGTTTCAGAAAAACTGCTAGAAAAGAAGTTCTGAGAGATGTCAAGTAGGTATTTAAACATCTCTTTAGAGTATGTGTAAGTTTTATTTCTGTCCGGAGGGTTGGCTTCACTCATGTCACTGAGCCATTCAGCGCAATACGCAGATCAAGATTGAGAAAAATTATTTGTGTGTGTGGTGGCTTCATATTTGCTGTCAGCTGTGCTTAAGCCCAGGTCTTCAGTGCCTGGGCTGAGCCTGTAGAGCAGAGAGCTCAATTCCCTCGGCCCTGGGGGTGCAGCCCTCCTGGCTGCTATCAGCTCTGCTGGCTCCACACTCCCTGGCAATCCTCCTGCCGTGCCAGGGTGTTCAGCTGAGATACCAACAGCCTGCTGCTGTTGGCCCTGGGAAAGGTTAGCTTTTTGGGAGGGTTTAACTTAAAATGTTAATGTAAGTGAGGGTTAGGTTAACTTCGAAGAGATGTAAAGGTTTCTGAGGTTTTGGCATTGTTTTGTTGAGTTGTTTTGTGGTTTTTTCCCCCAAGAGTGAGTGCTACTGCAGTAAAGCAGTCGTGTCATTATGGCCTTTGTTCAATGATCAGTGAATAAAACTTGCCCATTCACAGTTCAGTAGTTAAACTAAGTGGCAAGGGCTCATACAATATGTCATTCCAAGTCACCCATGACTTTCAGCTCCTTAACTCCAATTTCTGTCATAAATATTCACCCTTTTGTGTAGCTCTGTCTATCCTGCTCTTTGCTCAGGGAATTTCCACACCTGTTAAACATGGGCTCTTAAAGGCTTTGTTGTTTTCCTCAAAAACCATGTGTTGTGGTACCTCAGCTGACTCACATGGGTGATTCCTGACATTTTCCATCTGGCTTTTGACTTCCATGGGGCTTTAATATCAGATGCAGAGAAACTATCAACAGCATTTTAAGTACAGACAAATCCCTAGTTTATTCTGCCCACAGGAATTATTACTCTTTCTGTTGAGAGAATAATACATTAGAACTGAGTATGGTTAAAGCAAGTGTGTGCCTCTCTTGTAGAGGTCTCTGTGGTAAAAATACATGTACAGATTTTGCTACACATTAGTCATGTCTCTGTTCTGTCTTCATTATATAATGATTAGGTTTTTTTAAATCAGGAATAAAAGTTAAGGTGAAGTCTGATCATAAATATTGCTTGTAATTAGGCAGCTTTATTAATTCCAAAATTAATGGGAGGCAGAAAGTAGTAGAGATAAGTTACACTGGCCTACCAGTTGAAACAAGCAAAGAAATAACCCCACCTTAACTATTTTGTAAAACTCACCTCTTCTGTCTTACAGTGGCATCATGAAACCAGGACTGAATGCAATTTTGGGACCCACTGGCAGTGGCAAATCTTCGTAAGTGCCCTCCACAGAAATTACACCAAAGGGAAAATGACACTGTACATATTTGGCAGTAATGGACTTCTCTTTCAGAGAAAGACTGAGTTTTTATTTAGGTCTGAGCAAGTCTCACTGTTTTCTGAGAAATACTTGAACTCAAAGAAGACAATCAGTTTATATGAGAAAGGTGAAATTTAGTTTTAGTCCACACTTTGCTGACAGTCGCTCCTTACACACCATTCTGTGAGGTTAAACTCAAATTATTGAAGAAATGGACATGAACCTGCACAGATCTCATTTCCTTAGGAAATCAGGGCTAAAGAAACTCAGTCCTTGAAAGTTGCTGGGGGTTATCTAGATTGCAAATATTTAGTGTGATCTGCTTTTATGTAGCTGTTTGTTCCAGGAGCTGGGTTTGTGGTTCAGAGAGCTTTGCCTCCTCCTGCATGCCCATCTGAAAAAGTAACCAACTTTTCCTTCAGGCTGCTGGACATTCTGGCTGCAAGGAAGGATCCCCATGGGCTCTCTGGTGACATTTTGATCAATGGAGCTCCTCAGCCTGCCAACTTTAAATGTACCTCTGGGTACGTAGTACAGGTAAGTAGTTTTCATCACTGTGGATTCTATTGTAAGAAGTTGCTGCTGTGTTGCAAATACCTTGTCTTGATCCAAGAATCTAGGAAAACCCCCGAAAAATTACAGTCAGAATGTTACAGAAATATGTAACCACAACTGACAAATGACAACTGACTCAAACCACAACTGACAGATTCCCTCTGCAAGAGAAAGCAGATGGTGTCTAAAAACCTCCCCTCCTTCCTCCTTTGCCAAAACAAGTTGGGAATACCTTCACTCTGACCCACATGGACCCAGCCTCTCTTCACCTTCTCTATTCTCTCCCTGCTCTCTCCTGTGGTGGGCTGAGGCTGCAAACACACTGTGATAATGACCTGAGCTGTAGCTGCTCCTTAGGTCCCTGCAGCCCTTCAGCCTCTCCCTCAACACCTCCAAAAAGCCTGAATAAGGTAAGAATACACAAGGGACTGTTTACAACACTTGGCTGTTTATACATTTTGATATCATGCATGATGGAGGATGTTTCTATACAGCATTGTTTCATGAATTAAAACAAATGTAATTATATGCATGAAATCCACACTCTGCTCTGACACAGGCTTTCTGGCCACTGCTACTGTCCCTCTGCATGCAAGGACAGCATAAAACATAGGTAGATATAGTTCTCAGAAGAATAAATAGAAACTGCTGAACAACCACCAAGTATCTACTCCTTTTTTTTTTTTTTAATCAAGGATGATGTGGTGATGGGAACCCTGACTGTAAGAGAAAATCTGAAGTTCTCAGCAGCACTCCGCTTGCCAAAGTCAGTGAAGGAAAAGGAAAAAAATGAACGAGTGAATCAGGTTATCAAGGAACTGGGTTTGAGCAAAGTGGCAGATTCCAAGGTAAGGCTTGTAAATGTGGTACTTAAACCATAGTAAGTGGTTTAGTAATTAACCAAATGGTCCATCATGGCAAATTAAAAAAAAAAAAAGAAGTAAATTTCAACAGGCTGTTTTGGTAATAAAATAATTAGTGACATTTCTGTATGGTATTACCTTGTAGGGAAAAGGAAGGGGAAAAGTGAAAGGGAGAGCTAGTGGTTGGAGAAAAAGACAAGACCTCAAGCAATATTAACATTAAGAACAAGGCTGTGTGTGAGACAACATTGACATCTGTTTCTGAGAATAGGGCAAGAATTCCTTACAACTCTCCTCAAATGCTGCCATGTGGGTGGGATGCTGTTAGCTCAAGGATTTCTCTTTGGGCCAAACAAGACAAGTTTCTTGTTTTTTATCAGGTTGGTACCCAGTTCACTCGTGGGGTGTCAGGAGGAGAGCGGAAAAGGACCAATATTGGGATGGAGCTCATCACGGATCCTGCCATCTTGTTTTTGGATGAGCCAACCACGGGACTTGATGCCAGCACTGCTAATGCTGTCCTGCTGCTGCTGAAAAGGTGCTGGCCTTGGAAACAGCTTCCCATTGTCAGCACTCCACTCTGCTGTACTTCAGCTGCATTTGACTCAAATTACAGTTTGAACGAGCAAATGGAGAATTCAGACATGTAATTACTTACCAATGAGTCAAAGATGCAAATGGGTAGGAAAAATCTGTATAAATTCTCTGTCTCCAAAGAGAGAATTCTTTTCTCACACAGACACTGTAAATATGTCCTAAATATTTTCTTTTTCTTTTCTTTTTTTTTTTCTTTCTTCTCCCTTCTCTGGCATACCAAGTTAATTAGACTTCAAGACTTAACTGAACTTTCAAATGCTCTTATGTAAACACTGAACCAACTTGCAAAGCTGACATCTCTGCCATTCTTCACGTGCAGGATGTCAAAACAAGGAAGGACCATCATCTTCTCCATCCACCAGCCTCGGTACTCCATATTCCGGCTGTTTGACAGCCTGACACTGCTGGCTGCAGGCAGAGTGCTGTACCATGGGCCAGCCCAGCATGCCATTGAGTACTTCCAGTCCATAGGTGAGCACAGCTTCCAGCAGGGCCAACCTTTGGTTTGCACCAGCTCCAGTGAAATGCCGATAGCTCTGGGCCAGGACTGGGCACGGCGTGTCCAAGCAAGCCCAGTGTTTTGACTGAGCTTTTCTCTGGGTGTTTCTCCTCTTGACCCACATGTGGATTTGGGTGAGCTGTTCCTGGGTGCACCTTAATTAGAGTAAGCCCCTTAATTAGGGGTAGGGCTGGGAAGAGCACACTGCCAGCTGTCACCTCGCTTTTGCTGATGGTACTGATTTGCAGTGCCACTCATCCCTTGGGAAAACATGGGCTTTCCAAAGGCTGCCATGCCTTTGGTGCAGGCTGCTCCATGGGCAGCACGTGTGGCTGTGCTCCTGAGAGCCAAGCACAGCCCTTGGCCACCCAGGGCTCGTAACCCTGTCACCACAGTGTCACTGTCACCACAGGCTACCAGTGCGAGCCCTACAACAACCCCGCCGACTTTTTCCTGGACGTCATCAATGGAGACTCCACTGCCGTGGCAATGAACAAGGCTGTTGAAAATAACACAGGTATGAAACCCAGAGCTGAGCCAAGCTATCCTAACACGTGTGGGAATGGGAATTTAAGAAACTGTTTTGCTAACTCCCAGCACACAGAAAGAGCTTCTTTCATCTTCAAGGCAAACCAGCTGAAATCCTGAAGAAGCAGAGATGATAAACCAGGACAATTGTTTCTGTAAAGGACATAATTTGATGTAGTTATGACTTGACTATTTTGCCTAATGGAATAGTTTTTCTGTTAGGAAGTTACTGTTTTCCTTCCTCTGAGCAGGGTGGGAGGGGTAGAGACAGGGTACCACTGCTCACCTGGTATTTCCCTGGAGTTGTGTTAAGGCAAAATTATCCCCAAACTAACGAATCAGCTCTCACCTATTTTTTGGAGCATGCTTTCTCATACTTCTCTGCTGCCACTCATTAATAGCTCACTCTCTTTTCACAGGAGTGAAAAAGCAAATGAAGTGATGAATACACTGAGTGCCCAAACACAGTTTCACTATACCTTTTCCAAAGGAGCAGCCATCATTTAACAAAAATGCTCTGATCAGGGTCTAGCAAATATTATAGCTGGCAACACACATCATATCTGTCATTGGAAAACTGTACTATAGTTAAGAAAAAAAGGAGGTCCAGCTGAAATTTATTTATGACCAAAGTAGACACACGTGGGATTACCTCAATCTAAAAGTCTTGGAAGTCCAGGATTATGTCATCAGACCTGTGAAACAGATCAGAACTATCTGGGGGCAAAGAGATTGCAAAAATCACTTTTTTATTAAAAGCTATGTTGCTGCCAGGCTGCAACTCCCTGGGCAGACAAGGGTTTGCCTGGTCAGAGAGCTGAGAGGCTGCTGCCTGTGGGACAGGAACACACAAACTCAGAGGTTTGGTCTGATTTTTCCAACTCTTTTGAACTGTCTGCTATAGGGCTGAGTGCAATGAATCACTGGAACTATCAAATATCTTAATTCTTCTGGTTTTTTTAATCTTTCCAGCAGAAAGCACTGAAGAACACTCTGAATACGATAAAAACTTGGCTGAGCAATTAGCAGAAAAATATTCCAACTCTGCCTACTACAGAGAAACAAAAGCACATTTAGAGAGCATTTCTCCAGGAAATAAAAAGAAAAGCAAAGGAATTTTCCGGCAAATCACATATGCCAATTCCTTCCTCCACCAGCTGAAATGGGTGTCCAGGCGCACATTTAAAAACCTGATAGGAAACCCTCAGGCTTCCATAGCTCAGGTAAGGCTATTTGTATCTATAATCTTGTGGTATAAATTGAATTTTTTGGCTCCCGGATTATTAAATAAGTCACTGGGATGGTTTTGCCTCTTGATATTTTGACTGCAGTAAGCATCTGAAGAAAGAGTGCTCGAGGTTTAGGAATCTGGGGGTATAAGGTGTCCTGAATGCTCCCAAATGTGGGAGTGTTCAGTAATTAATTTTGGAGTACTGAAAGTAGTCTTGGGAGGCAAGACCTGTCCCAGCAGGGCATCCTGCTGCTCCCAGCCAGGAGCACTTTATGTCCCAAGTAGTTTCACACATGTGTTCAAGAATATTCCTCAGATTTGACTCTAATTGTCCAGACTTGGCATTGTGGGGTTTGGACTCAAATCCTCTCTCCTGCCAGGAAAAGTTAACAGACTGCATTTGCTTACTTAATTAAACTTCAGCACAAAATGAAGTGCTGGCAGTTGGCTCAAGTGCAAAAATATTTTTGCAGTCTCGTAATGTGTGTGCTGTTTGGTCATTTGACTGCTCCTATTGGTGATGATGTCCTCTGGATAAGGGGTCATGAAATCCATAACGGGGTCCAACACCCACCATGAAAGATAATCACTGGCTCTGTTAGAGCTGCTTTTTCTGAAGGACCAGCACCAAAAGTGTTGACTCCTTCAGAGCTGCACATTGCTTTCAAAAGTGAAGAATGTCCTGCTGGCCTCTGCAGAGTGACTAATCCCCTAATTCATGGGCCAAACTCTGCAGCCACAGCACCACCAAAACTCTCTCTGCAATTCTCAGCAGTTCTGGAGAGGCCAATAGAAAAATTAGCCTGTAGCCAGGGGTATGAATTATCTTCATCATGTTTTATTCAATGAATGAATAAATGGCTGGTGTGGAGGTAAAACAAGTCCAGAATCGCTGAGGTTAAAAGGCTTTGAGTACGTGTGTGTGCCTGTGTGTTGATACTATGGAGATCCTTAATAATTGCTTTGTAAAAGCTTGACCTTGTGACAAGAATTAGGCTCTCAAGAACCTCCTTCACAGCCCGAGGTTAATGGTCCTGACTTGTTTCTCACAATCTTTTTTATCTCCCCACCCTCATTAGGGGTGGATTTGTCCAGCATTCTTTTAGGGGTGCATGGCTCATTAAGCCTTTTTTTCATTAATCTGTTCCAAATCGGTCTTGAAATGATCCCTGCTTCCCACTGCGGCTGCCTCAGGAGCTGAATTATCCCTGACATTTGCTCCTTTCGGCAGGATCTTAGCGAGAGGGTACCAGGATCAAGTAATTTATGGTGTTAAGACTCATGCATTGCTGGTTGCTTGAAGATGACAGAACTGCCTGATACCATTGTTTTCCTGAGCTTTTTGTCATTTGCATGTAGCTTTTGAAAAGTGTGATGCACACACTTCAGTTTTTTAAGCGACATCCTTGAGGCAGCTGTTATCTCTGCTATTTAAATAGTTACAGACTGCAATATCAGCATATCTACAGCCCTGTTGTAGCAGCTCATTAAAAACAGTTCCACGAGTAAGATGTCTGATAGAGCCCGGTAATTACACACTGTGGAGCATGAAAATCAGCTGTCATCCTCATCCTGGCTGTCAGGAAAACCCTTGAAGCAATGAGAATGACACTTCCCCTCCTCTTTTTCCCATTTAGCTTTGTGTTACAGCTTTTCTGGGACTGGTTGTAGGTGCCATTTACTTTGGACTTGAAGAGAACTCTGCTGGACTGCAGAACAGGTGAGTCAGCCTGGGTAATGGATACTCAAAAATTTGATAAAGCTCCCTTTAAAAGAGCTTAATACCTCTTCAAAGCAAATGCTTCCCTTCACATCAGTGAGGCCAAGCCTGTGTGACTTGGAAATGAGGATGTGATTTTGGTCCTCTAGCAAGGTCCCTGCAAAACTGAGAGGGTTAAAATACACAGACTTGTGGCTACATAAAAGTAGATAACTCAAGTTGTCATCTTGCAGCTATTTCTATTCGCACATTTGAATTTACCAGCAGTAAGATTTTAAAATTATGCTGCTCTGTGTATCATTTTGACAGCTGTATGTACCTGACCTGGCACATGAGTTTGCCACTATGAAACCTCTGAGTTCTTAATCCTGAAATGCTTCATAGCATTTGTTTAAAAACAGCCCAGTTTTAAAATGAGTAAGAAGTGCCTTAAATTTTCGTGAAAAAGGTGAAAACTAGTTCTCACACTATTTATTTGGTTCCTTGCAGTTTGCAGCAGACAAATGCCTCACAATCTGAGAATCTTTGACGTGTCAGGAAATTACATTAAGAAAAATACCAAACCACAGCCCCACAAAAAACCCCTCAGTTGATTTTCTATCTTTTGTCTGCATCAGAGGATGTGCTATCATTGCATGCCAAAACTAAATAATGGCTGTACCACATCTATGTCAGGCTTGTTACAGACTCAGACTCATAGCCAGGACTTTTCCCATGGATTTTGGGATGAGAGGTCAAACACTGCCAAACTTCAGGCACTGCAGGTGGATTTATGAGCTCTGTTGTGGAAACACCACATTTACACCCCATTTTAAATAACAGCTCATTGTTTTGCTGATTTTCAGAGTGGGTGCAATGTTCTTTCTGACCACCAACCAGTGTTTCAGCAGTGTCTCAGCTATTGAACTCTTCGTTGTGGAAAAGAAGATATTTATGTAAGTAACACATACAAAAAGCTCTGCTGTTAGACTGTGAGTTTGTCTGACATGCTGTAATGTCATTTAAGTACAGCCAGTGCAGAATTTTCAAATTATTTCACTGATGGTGCTCATTGCAAACTGCTAGTGAGTTGTCTGCAAACCCCTCAAAAGGTACTTGTGATTACAAATAGCTCAGAATTTAAGATTATTGACACAATAGGAAAAAACCCCTTGAATACTCAGTTTTGACATTGATTTATATGTTTGTGACTTGCTAGTGAGGGCAATAAATGTAATCTAACTGGATCCTTTAAAAGTATGCATATTATGCTGGATAAAAATATGAAAGTTATTCAAACTTTACCCTCTCTACCTCGATGACATGACACATCAATTTACTAAAAATTATATGCAGAAATACCCATGTTCATTTGCATATGAAAATTTCACCAGTTCTATAGTGTGTGAACCTACTGGATAGCTCCATTATAGCCTAAGTGTGAAAGATTTTTCTCCCAGTTTGAGCTAGAATTCATTTGTCAAGAGGTGAAAATCAAACTGATTTTTTGTGGTTAAATTTCTAATGTGCTGTACCTATTTGTGTCTTGCAGACATGAATACATCAGTGGGTACTACAGAACATCTGCATACTTCATAGCAAAGCTGATGGCTGATTTAATACCCATAAGGACTATGCCCAGCATCATCTTCACCTGCATAGTTTACTTCATGCTAGGCAAGTGTGGTCTCCTACAGTCTCATTCCATCCAACCCCCTCCATAAACCATCATGTGCATCTTACAGATGTGTATGCATACATGGATATTTATACAGGCTAAAGCCCTGCACTGGTGTGGCAGTGGCCACTGAACTTGCTTGTAGCATACCATGTTGTTTTTTCACAGAAAAGACACAAATATTTAAGCATTCATCAGAGAATCTGTGACATGTCTCATCTCCACTGTCCCTAGAAGGAAGCCATAACCATTACTACCTAGTTTTGATTTATTCCTTTTAATCTATGGCCTTCTTGGCTTCTGATGACTTTTACAAGATACTTTCCTGATCCTTGCAAGAACACCTAAAAGAAAAATTTTTGGTTTAAGATCTTAAGACTGTGTGGATTATTACCAGCTTGTTGGTTTTGGTCTGAGTTTTTTCCCTAAGGAATAAGAAACAGGGCCATATCAGGAAGAGGCTCTCAGACTGTAAAACTGGAGGGAAACAGACCTTTCTGCTGAATCCATAGCCACCTCAAGGCTGCTAGGTTCTTCAGGAGAGCTCTCTGCTGGAGACTAGTGAAATGCTCTACAGCTGCTGCTCATGCAAGTGCACTACAAGTTTTTCCTTTGATGGACAACTTGCAGCCACTTTGCATGAGTGAAGTACAGTGTGCATTCTACTGTCTTCAGTCTTACTGCAGATTTGGGCATAGTCCTCATTCATCCTGTCTTCTACTGTCAGGACAGACACAGAAGGGCTGTCTTGGGTCTCAGTGACACAGCCTGTGCTGGCAGGCACGGTGTAATTTGTAAGCAGGACTAGGAAAGTCAGGATAGTGTTCAGGTTATGGCAGAGCTTTCATCAGGATCATTCTGAAACCCTTCTTCTTCTGATCTTTAAGGTCTGAAGCCAACAGTAGGAGCCTTCTTCACAATGATGTTCACCCTTATGATGGTGTCCTACACAGCCACTTCCATGGCCCTTGCCATTGCAGCAGGACAGAGCGTGGTCGCTATAGCAAACCTACTCATGACTGTGGCATTTGTTTTTATGATTGTGAGTAGCACTCTTCAGTTCTCTAGGCTGGATCATCAAATCCCAGAAATGCTGAAATCCAGAAATCCTACTAGCATGGAGTTCAGCTGAATTCTTCAAAAAGTCTGTTGGGGTCAATATAACCTGATTTGTCTGATTTGAGTATCCTGATGCTGTGGGGTGGAATATTCTGATTTGCCCTTTGAATGAACCAGAAGTGTGGGGATGGAGGGTTGGGTGTGAGGAGGAGGGTGCTTCCTCTGACTTCTCTGTGGCTCTGGCAGACAGAAAACTGCCTGGGAAGCAGGAAAGCCACTTAGGGCTACATTTCCTTCTCTCTCCCTTAACTTTGTGAAAGCCAAATGTGTGTGGCTGAGAACATGACCTGCAGCCCCCTGCTTTCTGAGACCACTAGCAGTCCCACAGTAAGGAATAGCAGAGAGTTCATGTGAACCCATGTGGGTGCCCCAGACAGAAAGCACGTGGGTTTACAGCACAGGGGAAAGCATTCCTGTTACTTGTTTTGGGGGAAGAACCTGAGGTTATGGCCCAAAGCTTGATAACATATAAACCCTTCCCTTCTGCTCTTCTGCTGGAAGAGTTTCTTCCTCCAGGAATGCTTTCCCATTCCTTTTTACCTGAAGAAGCAAAGTCAAGAGCTAGAGAAAAACACAGGATAAGAGCATGTAATTTTTAACCTGTTTTTGTTGTTATGGCTTTTTTTTTTTTTTTTTTTTTTTTTTTTTTTTTTTTTTTTTTTAATATATTGTCCCTAGATTTTCTCTGGTTTGCTGGTCAATCTCACAAGTGTCTTGCCCTGGCTCTCGTGGCTCAAATACTTTAGCATCCCTCGATATGGAATGACAGTAAGTGCTCTGATTTCTTCTGTACAAACCTGGAAATGGTTTGCTAGGAAGGAATGTCTTTAATCATGATAAAGTAATCTTCAAACTTGATGGCCTAATGAGTAAAAGGAAAGCTAATTAAATACAACAACCTCGGAATGTTGTTCAGTATCTTGAAACAAGAAGTGCTTCTCACCAACCAGCACCCAGTGCTCTTTAGAAGAGCTCATTTCTGTAATTTGGAAACACCTCACATGAAAAACACAATTACTACATCCACCGGACTTCAGCTGGACAGAAAGGTTTCAAAGTAAAGCACAATGTTATCCCCACCCAAAAAAGTAAAAATCTTCTATTTGTCTTTTCCATCAATCAAACAAAAACTTGTCAAGCTAAAGATTTTCTCCTAATTTGTGAAAATTTAAGCCAGAGTGATGGTTTGCAGAGATATTTGGGCATTACTTTATTTCTGCCTGTGCCTGGGGGAGGTGGTAAAGCCTGTTGTGGTGCATGCTTTACCAGGTGTGTACAGGCTGTATATATTCCTCTCTTAAAAAAAAATCTCTGCTGCTCTGCTAAAAAATGGGGATTTGGCAAATGTAATAGTGATACCAGCACATTTTTAGAATTGATTTTAATTGCATTATATCTCATTTTGTTAATGTATCCCTCCTTTACCTACTAATTTCTGTTGTCATTGTTTCTTCTATTTTAAAAGGCTTTACAGATCAATGAATTGGTTGGTCTGGACTTCTGTAGCAGCATTAACAGCACAGTTTTAAGCAGTGACACTGCATATCAACAGACAGGCCAGTAAGTATTTTGGAACACTGAAATGAATCCCACCATCAGGAACTTTAGAAGCCCTAGAACATCAGTCTGAATATCAGAGATACTCACTGATGACCAGAGAATCTATGAGTTTTTTTATGGAAAAGGAACCTTTGACTGGGTTTTTGCATTCTTACTGCATGGAACATCCTGCTTGTTGTCATATTTAGTATTTATAACACTAGAAATATTTGGCATTATGCTTCTCACTTTCCTTCAAACTGTATTAAGTGAGAGCTATGCACACACACACAATTGTACAGCCTCACAAAATTCATTCCAGCTTCCTATGTCAAACTGGAGCTACAAGAAAAGCAAATTTACAAATGGAAAATTAACTACTGACATACAGTTGATGTTTGCCTGCCTATTACAGACATGCAACCACACTCCAGCTTCTAGAGATCTTCCTAGATCCTGCTGGCTGGTTCATAAAGTGACTGAGCTTACCAATGTGTGTTTATTTGTAGAGTATGTACTGGAGAGGACTATCTGAAGAGCCAAGGCATCGATTTCAGCCCCTGGGGCCTCTGGCAGAACCACCTGGCTCTGGCCTGCATGACACTGATCTTCCTCACCATTGCCTACCTCAAACTGCACTTCATGAAGAAGTTCTCCTAAAACCAGAGGGAAAGAAGCAACTCCCACTGCTCAGTAGCTCGCTGAACTGATCGTGCAACTGACTTGATTATTTTTAAAGAGACGTTTTTTCGTTCAGAACTTTTTTGGTTCTTTTGTTATTACCCAAGTCAACAACATGAAAGCCATGCCTTTATATGAAATACTTAATGTTAATTTACTCTGCCAAAATGTCTAGCACAGCTCACTCCTCTTTGCCATGAAAAAGTGTACAGCTATTTATTTCTTCAAGAGATTATTCAGTTTTTCTTCATGTTCTAGCTATGAACTTGTCAAACACTGTATCTGTTTAGTGGCTTAACCAGAAAAAAATAGTGGTTCCATACTTTAATTAGCACCTATCTTCACTAGGAAGTAATTCAGTCCAAATTGATGCTTCTCAGGACACCAACACAGTCTCAGCTGCTTAAGTGGTCACAGGATATGTGAGACAGGGACAAAATCCTTTCTATCCCGGTGCTCTTTTCTATTTGGGAATCCTTACTTCTCTAGAATGTACTTATTGATGCCATCAAGCCTTTCTTGCCTCACTCAAGTGGTAGAATCACTGTTTTTTAAAATAAAGGTGTTCTTACTTATGGTGCCAGTTCCTATAAACCTTGTCCTGAAGTTTGTATTTCTTCTGCATAACTGAAATTCATCTTCAGTGTCCCATTAGTGCTGCTGCCATGAGTAGTTCTTACTCATTTTTATGGTGACCAATGTCAAGGTATGACTAAAGAGGATGGTAAGAATCCATAGATTGCAGCAATCCCATTCTGGCAGGCCAGCTTTTCCCTGGCCATGTGCAGCAATGCTAGCTCATCTCCTTCTTCATCTGCAGAGTTATGCATAGTAAATGCATCAAAGTGTATAGAAGACAATTTTACAGCTCTTCCTTGGGTTGTTACTGTTGATCTTGCTGCTCCTGCAGTGTTTGTCCCTGTTTGTGTAGGTCATAAAAGAAAACCTTACAACTTACCTTATTTCTGTAAGGGATATAGAAACATAGAACACCCCAAACTGGAAGGGACCCACAAAGATTATCAAGTCCAACTGCTGGCCCTGCACAGGACATCCCCAAGAGTCACACCCTGTGCCTGACAGCATTGTCCGAATGCTTACTGAGCTTTGTGGGGCTTGGTGCTGTGACACTCCCATGGGGAGCCTGTTCCAGTGTCCAACCACTCTCTGGGTGAGGAACCTTTTCCTACTATCCAGTCTAAAATTCCTCTGACACAGCTTCAGGCCATTCCCTCCAGGATCTGTCACTGTCTTTACATAATGACATTAGGATTCATGCTGATCTGATCATTAATAACTGTATTGTATTGTTTTTTTTCAGTAAGATGTCATGCTGCTGGGGAAAATGAAAGCTTCAGAGCACAAAAAATTGGCAGAGAGTGTTCTGTACCTTTAGCTTAGCCCTTTTTATGCAGAAGGAAACAGTAAAGAGATTATTTATAACAATAACTATATATATATCTATATATATAAAACAATATATATGACTATATAGCTTATAACAGTAACAGGTATGTAATTATTCCAAAAAAATTGACAGGAACTCCAGGTCCTGCTACTACAAAGAAATGAAAGTGGAAATTTTGCCTTTGGAAAAAAGAAAATCATCCCAGATTCTGAGATGTAGCAATCTACAGCCCATCTAACTGCAGCTGGTCCTTACAATTTCAACAAGTTATAAACGTGATCATATAGACTGTGATGCAGTCATAAAAGAAAATAATTTCAGTATACAGCAGTGGTTTCTGAGAAAGGAAATAATCAAAATAAATTGAACTGCTCACATTTTGAACAGGTTTTGACATGGTATTGCACAGATAATATTTACCACAAAACTCCTAAACTTTTCTTGCTTTCTACTACTTATTTCAGCAGCTGGTATTCCATAACAATGTATTTATGTAAAATAAATGTTTTTTTCCATACTGTTCCACTCTGTAAACTTGTGAAATTCTATACCTTAGTAAACCTCTAGCTGCATGGGCAGAAATTTCAGTAGTACTCATGTCAGAGTTCTCTGTCACACTATAGGCTTTAAATTAGGATTTAATTTTTCTCTTTTTGTCCAGCACTGCACTGAACATGTTCTCGTGAAAGGTGCCCCTGCTCATGGCATGGGGATTGGCACTAGGTGACCTTTAAAGCCCCTTCTAACCACAAAATTCTATTATCCTGATATATCTGGTTCTCCCCTTTAGTTTGGGGCAGATTGGTACAACTACATTTCTTGCACAAGCCAGGAGACACACCATCCATCCCTACAATAACCCTGACATGTACTTTTATAAGCAGTGCAAGCAGGGAGAGGAAAGATTATTAGGAGAAGGGAAATGAGTCCAGAATCGCTGAGGTTAAAAGGCTTTGAGTACGTGTGTGTGCCTGTGTGTTGATACTATGGAGATCCTTAATAATTGCTTTGTAAAAGCTTGACCTTGTGACAAGAATTAGGCTCTCAAGAACCTCCTTCACAGCCCGAGGTTAATGGTCCTGACTTGTTTCTCACAATCTTTTTTATCTCCCCACCCTCATTAGGGGTGGATTTGTCCAGCATTCTTTTAGGGGTGCATGGCTCATTAAGCCTTTTTTTCATTAATCTGTTCCAAATCGGTCTTGAAATGATCCCTGCTTCCCACTGCGGCTGCCTCAGGAGCTGAATTATCCCTGACATTTGCTCCTTTCGGCAGGATCTTAGCGAGAGGGTACCAGGATCAAGTAATTTATGGTGTTAAGACTCATGCATTGCTGGTTGCTTAAAAGTGACAGAACTGCCTGATACCATTGCTTTCCTGAGCTTTTTGTCATTTGCATGTAGCTTTTGAAAAGTGTGATGTACAGAACTTAATAATTCTGATTATATCTCTAACTCGACTGAAAACGTGTTTTCGCGTGTGAAAATTCATCTTTAGTTTGCCTACACTTTGACAGCAAGTGATTTAATCTGGACTCTTGGAAACTTTATGACTTTTTACTTTTAGTTAGGTTTTAGAGTATTCAATCCAGTACAAGATTTTTCTTTATATCCTCTGTCTGAACAACTTCAATTAAAAGAAATCACAAGCTGAGCATTGTTACTGTCTAAGGAGTTATTAAACTCATTTAATTCAATTAGTTTGAATGAAACTTTTTGGTAATAATAAGATACCACTTCTGAATTTTATTGTTTTTAGTACAGAAACTAAGGTTTTGATATTTTCTGTAACTGAAAGTAATTGCTTTTTCCTTGTATTGAATGTTCATGAAGGCAAGAACAGATAGCAAACTGGCTAGATCCAGTTAATACGTCACCCAGTTGAAGTTCTCATGTCCAAGGAAGAATATTTAAAACTTATACAGGTTTGGAATGTCATAATTCAGAGGAGCCTGAAAAAGCTCTATATTAATTTATTAAGAAGAATAAAAAAGTAAAAGGAAACCTAATGCTAAGAGCAGCCTGAGGAGTAAATCTGTATTAATTGAAAGCTTTTAATATGCAGAAGGGCAAAACTGAAATCACTGGTGTTCAATTTTACTCTTTTATCTTCTTCTTTGTGCTAAAAATACTTAATAATCAATAATATCAATTGTTGGAGGAATTCTTCTGGAATTAAGAATTATTTCAGTGGAATGTGAAGCAGGTTAGTAAGCCTGGTGGCAGAGCAGTAAGAATGGCTTTTGATGAGGAGGCAGAAGGTTGGACAGTATGGAAAACAAATTTCATCTTCAGAATTACTGATAGTGTGTTTTAAAATTAATTTTATAACATACTTGGATAACTGCATGACTTTTCAAACGACACATGTAAAAGGCCCATGACACTGACTTGGGGATTGTGACCTATTTTTCATAGTGTACCAAGGGTTTATAAATTGTATTTGTTCAAGCAAACATTTAACAAGTGCCTGAGTGCTTGCTGACCCTCTAGTTCTCGCCATGGGCTTACATATTTTACTGATGAAGCCACTGCCACTGGCTGGATGCTCTGGGCTGCATAAAAAAAAATGCCATCATCTTTTTTTGGCTTCTGTGCTGTAGACAAAATAAGAGCCTTGTAGGCTGTATACCAATCACCTGTGAGGAAAGACATTTGTTTAAGTTGGGTTTTCCAAGAGGCATTGAGAAATGTGCTTATATAGTCGCATCCCACTAAAGCAGAGAACAAATCAATTAAAAGGTTTGCAGTTCTGTGTTGCTCCAGTACAGAGGAAGGATTGAAAAAAAAAAAAGCCATAAAAGACAAAGAATTTATGTCAGCTGGACACTGGAAGCTAACAAACAATAATGATAATGAATATATCCACCAGAGAAGGAAGAAAGAAAACAATTAAGATAGCAACATCACAAAAATTTTTAGATTATGTATGTCTATCTCTTGTGTTCAGAGACTAAATAGTTATAGATTAAGAGCTCAAAACAGTTTCTTTACATGTGGAAACAGATGGATAGACTCAAGGGCAGCCTAACCTAGCCTGCTAAAATAAGTAAACTCTGCTCCTCCAGTTTCATGCATTTCCTTCATATTTCAAGAGAAATAATCTTTTCCTCCATAAGGTTTTGAGTCATGTCTGGTTCATTCTCAAAAAAGCTGCCTTGCCAAAATCTTAGTCACCCTGTTTCTTCAAAAACACAATGCTGCAATTACTCTCACTGCCCAGTATTATGAAATAGGCACCTGCCTTCTGATTATTTTTCCACTGACCCAGTGGGCACAGAGTCAAGGGCTGAGGAAACAATTCCCTGCCCTGTATGGCTGCACACAGGCACTGCAGGCAATGTGATGGAGATTGTTTCTGGACACACACCAGCACCAGTCCAAGGTGACTCAAACATCCTCACATGATCCCTGTCATGGATTTGTAGTTACATATTTTCAGTTTGTAAATTTTCTCTGGGATGCTGATTAATACTACAAGTATTCAAACTTTTGTTTCTAGGATGAAAAACTTCAGTATTCCAGCGCCAGGCTTTCTGCACACTTTATACAAACGATCTTCTAAAAGAGAACATTGTAATTTGGAAAATTAAAAAAAAAGGCAGATAGTTTTCTCATACTAACTGGTAAATGCCAATTTTATAAGCATCAACTTGCTGTCTCTTGGACATTCAGGGATGTGCAAGTGCTCACTTTGCATTCAGCTGTGTCTTTTTATACAAAAGGAGGAGAGAGTATAATCTGATAATGTAAATAACAGTAATGCCAACAAAGACTCCTGTAGTTGCTCCCCTGGGTCTTCCATGTGACACATTTCTATTTGCTAAATAATCTGAGATTATGGTTCTTAGACATTAATTTCTTTCAACCTAAATATTTCCCTCCTTTTGTAAAATTAGTTCTCCTATCAGATAGACCTTATTTTCATCTTCCTGTGCCATAAAAAAGGGAGAAATCTCCTGAACATAAATGCTTTTCCTCTCCCAGTCCACATCTCCTTCTTCTTGCTGGACATGAAAATAAAACCAGTTCAGACAGTTAAATCCCCTGTCAAACCTGTTTCTTCACTTAACTGTTTCAAATAACTAAGCCAGGAAACACAGCTGGCTCATTGCAGGAACACTGAGAGAAATGGGAATTTCTTTCCAGTGCTTGCCAGCTCTGCCTTTCTGCAGCACAAGGTTTCTCGTGGCTGCATCTTTCTGCACACAGGCATCTGACACTGGTGAGTTGGGGAACTCAGTCTGACAGCATCTTTAGCTCCAGGAAAAGCTGATGGCAGTACAGAAGTGTGCTTACCTCAGACTTTGGAATGAACTGGTAATTTCAGGTTTAGCCTGAAAGGAGCACTCTTTTCCTTTGAGTATTTCTCAGAATTTACATCACACCACTCTCTGTGCAACAGTGAAAAGCAGCAGCCTGAGCAGCACACACAAGCATTTTTGGCAGTGCTATTTTTATTTCTAAAATACCTCAAATGTGACCTCCCAGAAAACAAAGTCTAACTCTTCTCACTGGAAATTCTTTTATTTTCAAAACTAGAAGTCTTAAAAACAGAACAGGAGTTAAAACAAATTCTAACTCTATACGAGTTGAATATTGTTGATTTGTTTTTTATGAATAATTCCTTAATGAGTATTTTGTCCCTTGTGAGTCTCCACTAATCTTTAACTCTTTCCATGACTTTGCAAATGAATGCAATTACTGGTCTCAACTTTTGTCAAAATGTCACCAGCAAAACTGTGGCTGATGCAAACTGTCACGATTGGTCCTTTGGCAATATTACTGCGTTTATTACTGATGACTTTTGCAGAGCCACACAAACCCAGCACACTCCCCACATCTCAAACCCCTTCTTGCTCCCTTCCTGGCACCCCACCGCTGGTAGGAAATCTGCTCAAAACACCTGAGCACCTGGCTGTAGGAAACCTGCTCTCACACTTCATCAGAACTCAGGCCTCTTAGAGAAGGCACAAGTTTGCTGCTCTTTGCCTCCTGGGATGCAGTTTCAGTCTCCATGAGTATTCCTTGGAGTAGAAGCAAAGCAGATGAGCCGCCAGAATCCCCAGTGCAAGGAAAACTTGTGATGCCACTGCTGTTTTAGCATTACTGATGATTAAGCAGTTTGTAGCAGCCCTTTGATCCAGGCTGGAAGCAGCTGAGTGTGTGTTAAGGCATCAGTGTGAGGTGGCACAAATAAAACACAATTGTTTTGAATGCCACCTGAACCATGAAGCCGTCACTCCACCTTTCTGCACCTATTTTGCATGATCAGTGCTTAAAACCTGGAAGTCCTTGTTATACATGTGACAATTGCTTGCAGACCTTTTATCATAACCTTTTAATCCTTTTTCTTTTGTTTTTTGACCGAGTTTTTCTTCTTGTTTAGATTTACTGGAGAAGAATCTTGGAATATACAAGGCATCCAAGTAATGCCTGTGGACATGGAAGAATTACTCCAAAAAGCTCTTATCACAAATATGCATCTCAAACTGCACTTCCAAAAGAAACCTTCCAAAATCAACAATGTTACAACAGACACAGAGCATTAGAGAAAGGAAAG